ATAGGAGAAAGCAACATTCTTCTCATAGCTAAGAGCTAAGCCTATTAAAGACAGCAGCTGCTTGTAGGATAACTAATTGCAGAAATCTAATCTCTACTCCCTACTGTAAGGCAAGGACAGTGTTTAAAATAAGTCACAGTCACTGGTTGGGTAGCCCAATCTGGCAGTGTTACAAAAAAGTTCAAGAGTAAAAAATCCTAGTAATTTTCCCCCAAGAATAGGATTGGGTATTTCACAGTTAGGAAAAGCAACATGATTAGAATGAAAAATTTGGAAGGAAACTGAATGAACCAAAGATCCCCTCCTCAATTTTTATTCCCCTAAACTACTCTTCTAGGGCCCTGCTTTCTTCTGCTGTGCCTTAAGAAACATGTTTTTCCTAACGGACCTGGGTTGCCCTCCATTGGCCAGATAAAGTTCTTAACTTTCACTGTTCACCAAGATCCTTATTTCTAGATCAACTGAATCTAATAAAAAAATGCTTAGAATGGCTAATTCACTCTTTCTGGGGTGTAAACACTAGAAATTGCCAGGGAAGTAGTATAGCTAAGAATAAAACTCTCCCTCATATTCTACGTTTGAAGAATTTACAAAACTAGGGGACTGACATCATGCAGGCATTGGAGACTGACAATTCAACAGATCCACTTCTCTGATGAAAGAGGAAGAGTTGGACAAAATACCTCTTGAAGGAAAGCATTTTACAGAGTGACAACTATACCTCCCATTGTAAAATAAGATTGAGACTAAAGCTGGATGGTTCATGCTTGTAATTCTAGCACTCTTGGGAGACTGAGGCAAGAAGATTGCAAATCCAAGCCCAGTGTGGGGAACTTAGTGACTTAGAAAGACCCTGTCTAAAAAGGGTTGGAGAAAAATGAGACTGAACAATGTTGTCTTCTAACACCACAACTAACCTGAGGGCCGGTAATCAACTCTGGTCTGAAAGCTGCAAAATCACTGAACTAAGTAGCAGGTGATCCTGGGGAGACTGGAAGAAGTGGCACAGAGATCCGAAAATAGGAGGAAGTGGCAGAAAGCAAGCTTCATTGGTCTTCTTTGGAGTACCAAGAATAAAACTTTCCCTTAGCTTTGACAGACTCCAAAGAAGGTGGCTGAACTAAGCCACTCTGCTTTCCCATTGAGCAGTGCTCTAGGATGTGAGCAAGAATAGAGTGATCTCTACCTACAGCAGTGATGGTGAGCCTTTTAGTGCTTTCAGTGATAATAAACAGCCTACTGTGGCGCATGTCATAGGTTCGCCACCACTGAAGAGCCTGGCCAGAGGTGGTCTGTACAGCCCACTGAAGAAGCACCACCTGCATCTAAGGAAAGGATAATATTCAGACTCCTACCACAGAGAATCAACCAAAGAATATTAGTGTTGGCCAGACCAGCAGCCACACCTATACAGACAAGTGTGAGTACAAGGCAATCTCCCTAGAAGCAATATAAGAGGTAGGATTCACCACAGGATAACTATGGGAAAGGGAGTTATCAGGTGAGAGAACAGACCAGACCTCCACCCTAGTCTTGGTGGGGGGTGGAAGGGACATCTTTGAATCAAAAATGATTTTAAACTTTTAAAATGAACTCTACTTAGTCTTAAGATTTTGATGGGAATGTTTAAAAAAACTGAGAGTGACATAAGTTACAAACTGGTCTGAGACATCACTAAGGGAGCTTATAATCCAGCAGGCAAAGCGTTTTGACAGAGCACAATTGGTAGCATTTATGGGAAAAATTATAACCTTTCATGTTTACACCCTAATACAAGGATTCTCACAAATCTGTTTATACATGTTAATGCTTGCAGTTCTTCAGTGTGAGCATTCCCTGTCATAACACATTTATATTTCCAAGGAGATTTTTATGGAAACAAAAAGTGGAGCAGAGTGGGAGAGTGCAGTCGTTGCTGTGTAAGAGGTAACAGTAAGTCTCCATCAAGAGCCAGACATGCCTCAGGGTAATAGGTAAAAAAAAATAATTTAAAACAGGGGCTTCACATTACCATTCTACGTATGGACCAACCAAATCATGTTCATGATGTGAAATTCTTCTATTTGTCACAAGACTGTTGGGGTAATGATGGGGTGCAGGACCTCACAATATAGTTCACGCTACCCACAAACTCCTAATCCTTCTGCTTTACCCTCCCAAGTGCTGTGATTACAGGCTATGCCCAGCTATGGTGTGGATTTGATCTGATCTGATAGTAGTCCTTATAATTGTGGGTTACAAGTAAATTCAAATATAACCAAATTAAAAATTTTACTGTAAATCAAGAATGAGACTAGTAATTTGAAGTTAAACTGTAGGTATTCTCCCATTTTCTGTAATGAAAAATAACTCCATGAAGTTCCAGGATGCACCAAACTCAGATATAGGACCCGATAATTCAACACTGAAAGATGGACCACAAATAGCTATATAGTTTTCTGACTTTATCAATTATGTTCACTGAAACTTAAATATTATTATAAGTAACTCAAATCCAAGACTTACAGCCAAATTAATTTCACATATCTATAGTTTGCCACACAATCAACCACCTTTCCTAGAGGTCCCCTTGTCCAGGTGGACAAGACTGGGAGGATTCCAGAGCAGTGTGGGCTAGGGCACCAATTCCTTAGGTAATTAAGATTAGAGGTGTTTTTGAAGACTCCCCCTCCCACCCTCTGGGCAAAAACTCTTTCAATGGGTCTGAAATGTAGTTCCTGAAATTCTCAGCATTCCTGCCATTCCCTTAGGCTGAGAATGCTCTCTAAACAGTCTTGCCCTCAGGCACCTGAGGAACTGAGCCTCCTTCTGTGGGAAGCTAGCTGAAAGTTAAGTGTCAAAGGCAGTGTGAAAGGCCTGAAAGAAACACAAAGAAGGGTGCAAGTTGCAAGCCCAGGAAGGTCCACAGAAGCTGACCAAGGTTCCAGGACTCTCACTGTGGTGACTCTCACCAAGAACGGGATGGGAAGGGAGCGGGGAGGCTGGGGCAAAATTGTATAGGCTGGAAAAGAATGTAGGGCCCTAGCACACATCCTAAATAAAGATTTTTTAGCTAGAATAATTTGTTGGAAATCAGGGGTGGGTGTGGGGTGTGTTTTCACTGAAATCTCAAAAGCCAGCTCAGAAAGACCAGCTATTAGAAATTCAGTCATTACACTAGCAAGAAACCTCTTTTCCCTTTCTCCTTCCTTCTTTCCCTTGCCTTCCTCTCTTTCTTTGTTCTCTCTCAAAGACTGGGAGATTGGATACACTGGAGAACTGAACTACACAGGCCCCGCACTTAAAACCACAGACGAACCACTAGAGGGCAATGTCATCACTGATCCCTTAAATGCTCCTGATTTCCTTTGTTTCAAGACTCTTCCTTCAATTCTCATTCTCTCTCTCTCCCTCCTTTTTTTTTTTTTTTTTTTTTTTTGGTATTGGGGATCAAACTAGGGACCTTGCACTTGCAAGGCAGGCGGCAGAACCACTGAACCAAATCCCCAGCCCTCAATTCTCATTGTAAATAAGTGAACTTAGGGTGAACACACCTAGATGTGCATCACAGCAATACATGGCATGGACTGCAACAAAGCTCCTGGTAAAACTGGAATAATTTTAACTGTTGTGTAGCACAATTTAGAATCCACAATTTAAACCTGCATTTCTGCCTGAATTTTGGAATTTCTCTCAAATGCTACACCAAAAAGTAACCTTGCAAAGAAATACAGAGTTAAATAATCCAGCACACACTATTTGTACAAGATTCTGTTTCTGTTTCCGTATTTAAATTAGTATTTGGTTTGGTCAAAAGCAGGATGTCCAGCTGGACAAAAGCTGTCAGTCAATTAGTCATATACACAAACCATGGGGACAGAGAGCTGCGTGTTTCTCTTGGCTTAAGGCACTGTGGTATGAACTGGAGCCAGCGAATGTGATCTAGTTGGTGTACTGAGGAAAGCAAAGTTTCTAGAAGCCTTGGGCTTTGGGGGCAGAATTTCCCTTCCTATGAGTTCAGCTTATGGCTCCTTAGGCAGAGACAGCACAGGTGCAGACTAGCATCTGATTTTGGTGAGATTAGTATTTCAAGAAACCTTGTAAATCAGCTGACTGACTGGAGACCAAAGTGAAATTGGAAATGAGGAAGTATTAAAGGGAAAGAATAAAACAGGCTTTTTATAGACTAGGATTTTTCTGCCCTAGCACTGGAGCTGTATTTCTTCAAACAACTGATATTTGCTAATATCAAGTTTACCCACAGTTTATCAGCAGAGACAGATAAGGTGAGGAAAATATTTGTAGGCAGATTTCTGGAATTTTCCTACAGTGCTGAAATACCATCCAGAGTTCAAACGGACCATATGTGGACAATGATAACTATGTTTCTTTTATCTTGTATTTTCACCACTTTATAATAACATTAACTCTTTACACAAGGTCAGTATTATTTACCTAAGGCTTTCCCAAAGGTCTCTCTTCTTTTCTATCCTCTCCCTTCAAAGCGTCAGGTGCATATACAGTGGACCCTCAAGTTACAACCAGAATGACATATGAACAACTTTGGTTAATTAGATTAATGGAAGATTCATCTGCCTTTTGATATCTATAGCATGTACCCAGGTAAATGTCCAGATCTCAGCTGTATTGACTTACAACTAAACAGCCTTTGGGAATTAATGGAGTCTGTAAGTGAAGGGTCCATTATGTTTCAAATGGAAAAAATAGGAGAGGAAATGTTTACTGAAACCAGTCAGGTGGGTATTGTAGCTCAGCAAAAGTGCATTATTAGGGGGAAGATGTAGCAGAAAACCGTTCACAAACTTTAACGATTACAGTTCAATAGCAGATTCGCAGGGCTGAGTTAACAATGTTTCACAGCAGGAAAAAGTACAGAAAAACAAGCAAGAACAAAAGTGTGGCAGAGAAGGTGCACAACAAGCAGAAGCAAATGCTATGGAAGGTGACCTGACTAGGTGGAATGTTAACAAAGGGCGGTGCCAGCTCTGGCCCTCACTCACCTACTCACAACCTCAGGAACTTCCAAGGTGGTCTTTTCTCTTAATGCCACTCTGGTTATAGGGTTGTGCCCCAAGAAATAGAGGATTAAGCACTTCTTCTCTTCCAGATCACCTCTACAAATAAAAGATTGGCACCCTGGGACAAATAAAAACAAAAAGCTATAAAATAAAGGTTAAACACTTATATGAGATCCCATTTCTAACTTGGCTAAATAGAGTTGTTTCAGTACAAGACAACTTGGCTTCAATCTGTATTATTCTGAATGTATAATTGATGTGGCCCATCTGTTTCCAGTAAAGGAACTTTTGTTTTGCTTTTTTCTTCTCCACTTTCATTCAAAATGAATGGCTTTCTCATTAGGCAATGTTCACATGCTCTCAGAAAATGTGTTTGGAATAGAAAGACTCCCAGAATCACAGATTTAAATACCAGCAGAGTTGAGTATGTTCTCCTCCATTTTGAGTTAGTTAAATGAGGACTCATGCCAACCTCCGTACAGAGAACTTCTCAGTAAGACCATTATAGCCAGGAAACCATATACTTAGTATGGTTATTAAAATCCTATAGCACTCAGGTGAAAGGTGTTGTGGACTAGCAGCTAGAACATCTTTTTCTATTGCAAGTCCTGGATTTATAGAAGCAAAGCAACTAGGAGAGCTTTAAGTCTTCTCACCCATTCTACAGATATTTATTGAGTGCCTGTAACAATGTCTTGGGTAATAAAGTATAGAAATGACTAAGATCTAGTATAGCCCTTGCCATTACAAAGCTTAGAATTATAGAAGAAACAAACCAGTAAAAAAAGCAATTCTAACCTATTAGAGTGGTTATCATCAAAAAAGGAAAAAGAAAATAAAGAATAAAGGAAATAAGAATAAAGGAAAGTGTCAGTGTCTACAGAAAACAATTAGAATGCTAACACATTATTAGTGTGAATGAAAAATAAGGGGGCTGCTTATTAAGGGTACAGATATAGTACACTGTAACCCAGCAATTCCATTCTCTGGTGTCCACCTAAGAGAAGTGGAAACAATGTATACTCAAGTTTTCTCAGAAGTATTACTCACTGCCAGATGTGGTAATCCCAGCACTCCAGAGGCTGAGGCACAAAGACTGCTGAGAGTTAGAGGAGAGCCTAGGCTACATAGTAAGTTCAAGGCCAGTCTGAACTAGTAAGTGAAACTGTCTCAAAAAAAGAGTCTTATTCATAATAGTCAAAAAGTGGAGTGGGACATGGTAATGCATGACTGTAATTCCAGTACTTGGGAGGCTGAGGCAGGAAGATTGCCACAAGTTCAAGGCCAGCCTGAACTACATAGCGAGACTCTGTCTCAAAAAAACAAAACAATAACAAAGGACCCCAAAGTGGAAACAACCCAGATGTCCATCAAATGGATAAATAAAATGTGGTACACAAACATTATAGAATACCACTTAGCTATAAAAATAATTAAGTATTGACACGTTACAACATGGATGAGCCTTTAAAACATTATGCTTAATGAAAGGGGCCAGGCAAAAGATACATATCATATGATTCTGTGTATATGAAGTTAATAGGCCGAGCAAATCCACAGAGACAGAAGGTAGATTAGCAGTTGTCAGGGAATTGGGAAAGCAATACCAGGGGGCAGTCAACAGATGTGTCATGTTTCTTAAGGGGCAATGAAAATGTTCTGAAATTATATATTGGTGATGGTTGCACAATCCTTGGAACGTACTCAAAACTACTAAGTTGTATACATTTAAAAGTGACTTTTATGGTGTGTGACGTGTATCTTAGCAAAACAAGGTAATAACAGTATGACTGTTGAATTAGAACATCATTCTACACATTTGGCATGTAGAACCTAGGTTTGAAGAGGTTCTTAAAAGAACTGACTTTAGCAGAGAGTATTAAAAATGAGTGGGAGTGGGAGGGACAAAGGATGGATCAACGCTAAACAAGTAGCAGAACACAGCAGCACTGAGGGGAAGCTCACAGTGCACTGGGGAAACAGGAAGTAGACTCTGTAGGCTGAAACAGCATTTGCCTCAAGCAATGGATAGAGGAGCTAGCAAGCTATGTCAAAGAGTTTGGACTTTATCCTAACAACAGGAAACCCTTGGAAGAATTAATGGATATGAGTGAGATCTGAGTTGTTTTTCAGAAATGCTGTTCTAAACAGTGTGGAGAGAGGACTGGAGGTGGAGCAAAGATGGACATTTTGTGATTTGTTAGATTATTGAACTGATTCAGAAGTGACCAAATAGGGACGACTAGAAAGCTTGCTTCCAAGCTCCCTGTAATGCTCTGCCAACCACAGCATCATCAGGCTCCCCTGTGAAGCAAGACATGGTTTCTGTAGGAGGTGGTGGTGATGCTTTTTGGTCCACGCACTGTACTCAATCCTTTCTAGGCTGGAGTTTCCTTTTCAGATCATCATGACTATAAGATCCTCACCGTTTGCCACAGGAAGATTATATTCTATAAGGCATATGGAACTGATGCTGAGCAGTCAAACATCCCAGTATCTCCTGTAGTTGGGAAGCTGTGGTGGTAGGGTCATGAGTTCTAGGACAGCCTGGGCTACACAGAGTCCTTGTCTCAAGAAAAAAAAAAAAAAAAAAAGCACACTTAAGGGACAGAAACATTTACGTTCATATTTCAACCATAATTTTCAAGCTTAATAACCACAATCTGTAATAGTTACCTCAAATGTGAAATAAGGAAGTCAATATACATTTCAATTCTATGCTGGGGATTACATGTGATTATGTATATAAAAAGCCTTGTATGAGGCCTGCCATGTAGTTGCTCAATAGTTTCTGTAGCATGCAGACTCTGTAGGATCATAATTCTGTAGTTGCAACCAGAATACCTCAATGCAAGCATGACTACGAAGGTGAGTAAACTAGGCCTTAGGATTGGTGAGATAGGAACTTCACTGTCATCCCAGAAACAGGAGTTTGCCACTTGCAAATATGTCACTTGCATTCATAGTTCCTTAAATATCATTTCAAAGTACAATGTATTTAAATTAATTCCTTAAAAGAAAACTGATTTGAGAGCTTCTTAGACAACCCATCAAAACAACCTTGTTTACTGTCAAGCAGGGAGGCCAAAGTTCCAGGTAAAGTCTCTCCTTTCTAGAACTCAGCATAACCCTAAGGCAGCAGACCATAAATATAGTGTGAGGCAATGAACAAATGGAATGTTGTCTGCAATAATGTGGAAAGAGAAAAGCAGTTCATGTAAACACAGAAAGCCATTTAAAGAAACTCATTTTACATATTACTTAGCGCTTTCTAGGTATAACCTTCTTGAGGATTTTGGGCAGAAAATGATACATTTTAAACACAGGCAAAGATATAAAGTACCAAAATGTTTTAAATTTCTATTTAAATTAGCACTAAAGCCTATATCCTTATTCTTTTAGTACTTTGCAAGTTCCTAGTGATTTAATAACCCCCCAGACCCTGATAAAGATTTCATACACACATTTTCTTTTATGTATTTTTAAATGTTTCTTCTTTCTCCTCTATATTATGAAGTAAAATTTATCACTAAAGAAACATTGAATCTTAGGCTAATCACTGCAATGGATTTCAGGAAGCACAAGGTGGCAGAAGTACCCTAAAAATGCTGCTGCAAATAAACCTAGGAAAACTTTAAACATCATGGAAACTCCAAAAAAATTATTTATATTTTACAAAAATAACACAATTCTTTTCCATAATAATAACAAATATATAGACAGTTTGGAAAATATGACAGGAAAGTCCAGGAAAGAGAAATATACATACATATAAATACACATATATCTCCTTTCTATAATGATTAGTTCTGATTATAGTACTCATGTAACTTTTATCCTCTTAAAAGAAAAGCTTAGTGGGGGGGAACTTTTCAAACTTATCAAACATCTCTGTTTTACAAATATTTAAGGCATCTGTGCATGTAATATTATGAGTGTTAATAGAATGTTGGCTTATTTGATCTAGGCATTTTCCTATTAATAATGATTAAAATTACATAATATCAATTACACCTGAGCCAGTATTTTTACATTCTATTTCAAATCAAAAACAAAACCAGCTGTCTGAACTAGAACTGAACTTTTACTCCAAAACAGAATAAAATGGTTTCCCTTTGTTTGAATATCATTTTAAGATCTTTGTAATTTCAATAAATATTACAAAATATATTACTTTTGAACTGGCCTGTAAGTACTTGGACCTTCATTTTGTTATTTTTCAAACATATCTACAGTGTATTACATAAATTTTGGGGTTTTTGTTGGGATTTTTTGTTTTGTTTTGCTTTTTGGTGCTGGGAATCAAACTTGGGAACTTGTATTTGCAAGGCATGCTGCGGCACCACTTAGATAAAGTGCATAAAATTTTATATGAAGAAAATATTACAGAAAATAAGACTTTTCCTCATTGAGTTTATTGGTACATTTTAGGTATACAGTACAGTTACATTCATCATTGGGATCTTGTACCTCTACATGACAGGTCTTGGTTCTCATTCTTTCCCCTTGTCCCTGCCCTCCAAGAAATACTGAAAGTATTGCTGCAGCAATCAAAAGTTACTTATTCAAGAGAATACTGCCACTAAATTTGCTCCTGAAAAATTAACCAACACCGTAATTCACTTGCTAATTTAGAATCATTAACATAAATGTTATAAATAACTGTATGAAATAGCCATCTTCTTTAGACAGATAAAAGCTATTATTATTCCTCTTCTAGCATGGGCTCAGGAAAGTAAGGACTTTACAGATACTACACAAGTAGGAGACAAGAGCATTAAGGAACTGTGTAAACTAGTGGTAAAATTACATAGTATTGCTCCATGTTTTTGTGACTTTCATACTGGTATTTCACAAGTCAAAATATGCTAAATTAAATGTGATGACTCTCATATCTTTTAACTGAAAACTAAATTTACTCTTTTACATGTGACTTTCAAGAGGGGAAATTGAACGTTCGTTCAGGAAAATGTTACTACTACATTCCAGAAACTCCTGAAAGATTAGTCTTGAACCTCCTTTTTAAGAACTTACTAGGTAATCACAGGGAACTTCCTTAAAGGAACAATGTCACTCATGATTGCCTAATCAGAACTCTAAATTAAAGGCTATAGTTCTGACAGCTTTACTTACTCTTGTCCTGGCTTCTTCCTTCCCCAGCAGCTTTGAAGTATGTTATTCAAGCGCTCTCAGTCCCACACATTACAAATTGCAAATAGCTGAAAGTGGAGGGGTCAGCTTAAATAATTAGTGTATTACATTACTGCACTTTCTCAACATTTCTTCTTCTTAGGGCTGCATTAGAAACTCAAGACCAATTTGACTATAAACTCAGCATCAGAACCTTTTTATTTTTCTTTCTTAGTTGATAAGGTTTCCCAGAAACTGGGCTTTTCCACTTTCAGAACCCTGGAAAAGATTTAAAACATGAACTATATTAAGCAACATGCCTTGTCTGGGAGCTTCCATATTTTAAAAGCCTGGAGATCCTAGCTTGGGAAAGCTAGAAAAATAAACACCAACTATGATGACCGGAGAAATTAAATTCCTTTGTTGAGTCTTGTCCTCAAACTCCTAATAAAAATAATTTAAGTTTGGCCTTCAGAACTGTTCTTTACAAAAACTACTTATCATTATACAATAGTTTCCTATTTTTGTTTGTTTTTCTTCTATTCTTTCCCACATAGATTAAACCAAAGGAAGATTAGCCAAACCTAATTTGATTCTAATCCAAGCCACACACTCTCTGGATTCCATTCCAAATCAAGTTTAATTTACTTACTTCCTTGGGTCCCAACTGAATGACCTACTGGAATCTATGAAAGGGGTCAAAGAATAAGACTCCAGGCCAAAAAAAAAAAAAAAAAAAAAAGAAAAAAAAAAAAAAAAAAAAAAAAAGCGAAAATATAAGCAAGCCTGGAAACCACCAGCCCAAAAAACATAACCTAGAGATGATGTTTTTGTTGGGGAATTCAAATGTAAAACATCAAATCTTCTAATGAGAAAAGTAACAAACAGAGAGGCAGATTTCTGCATTTTTTATTTCATTCATCAATTGTACAGACACTCTGTTTATGAATGTTTACAATAGACTTGAAAACTTGCATTTAGTGCCCGTTCAAGGCACAGAAGCCACTCCACCTCACCCCTAGTATTCTTGCTGTATGTTGTAAAATCTATAAATGTAAACTTTACTTTTTATGTTTTGTTTTTTTTTTGGTAACTTGGAAGATGGGTTAAACTGTTTGCTTTTGACTTTGGTAATCAAAAGCTTTAGAACCTGTAGTCCAAAGATTTCTAGAACACCTTCTAAGAAAGACCTTTAAAGAATAAAGGCAATGTCATTTGCTAACAATGTAAAAGCTAATAGTAGTTACAACTTTATATGTCATTAATATTGTTACAGCTCATTAGAAACCTCCACAGTATTTTTGATCTTCAAAATCACTTTGATGAAATAGGATATATATTATGACCGTTTTGTATATTAGGAAGGGGAAATGCCAGGTCCAATGTCACTTAGTAAGCTATAAATCCAAACCTTAAGACTATGTGATCACTGTTCTATTTTACTTTTTCTTTTAGCTTAGATGTTCAGCTTTTGTACATTTTTTGCTCTCATGATTAGGACTACTATAGCAGATACACATATAAAACTCCTCCTTGTGAGATCTGCTTAGTCTTCATTCTCTGGTCTTGCTTTAAAGATGGATAATCTACCCCATTTGGATTAAAAATAAAAATGAAACAAATATTAGACTTCCATAAATAGAACAAAAAACATTTACTACTCAGAGTATGTCAGTAGGTACACAGAAAACCACAGGAACTACTTGTCTCCACTTTAGTGTGTAATTTAGTGAGATAACTTTGAGCAAGTTTAAATTCTGTGCTTATTTTACACACTAACGGCCATAAAGTGTCCTCTAAGTTTTATAAACAGCAAAAAGTCATTAATTATACAACATTTTATATTCTAATGATCTAGTGTAATATTAAAAAAAAAAAAATAGAAAATGCATGCCTTTTTTTTGGTACCGGGGATTGAACTCGGGCCCTTGCGCATGCAAGGCAGGTGGCGGAACCACTGAGCCAAATTTCTGGCCTAGAAAATGCATGTCTGTTGTAGAAAATTCACAATATACAGAAAACCATTTAGAGATAAATTTTGTAGTTCTACCACTTTTTACATACTTTTTGCTGTTTACCTATATATCATGGATGTTTTCTTCTGTTGTCAAATAAGAAATTTTGCAAAGGGGGTATCTGAAATGAACAGGTATTTCTCAAAGAAGTAAAAGCAAAAAATACACATATGAAAAATGTTCAACATCACTGGTCATTTGAGAGATGCAAATTAAACAACACTGAGGTCTCACTTTACTCCAGAAAGAATGGCTGCTATCAAGAAATCAACCAAAAACAAATGCTGGCAGGGTTGTAGGGAGAAAGGAACCCTTCTCCATTGTTGGTGGGAGTCCAGACTGGTGCAACCACCATGGAAATCAATATGGGAGATACATCAAAAGGCGAGGATTAGAGGTCCCATTTGATCCAGCTATTCCCCTGCTGGGAATCATACCACAGTGATATATGCACATCCATGTTTATAGCAACAAAGTTTGCAATAGCTAAAACTTGGAAACAATCCAATTGTTCATCAACTGGAGACTGGATAAAGATGAGGGTTTTTAAAATAAAATGGAGGTCTATTCAGCCATGAAGAGTAAGAAACTAGAGACAATTATAGCTAAATGGATGCACATAGAGGCCATACTTTTAAGTGAAATAAACAGGACACACATGTAAATACCAAATAGTTTCTCTGGTGTGAGAAACTGAAAGTGTAAATAAGGATCAAAGTGTGTAATAGATAATGTGAAATAGGAAAAGGTCTAAAGGGGAGGGAGAACTGAGGAGTAGAGGAAAAGGAAAGAAGGGAGTGGAATTAATGAGAAAATAAAAAAATGTAAACAAGTCTTCATAAATAGAGGGGTGGAGGGGATGAAGGAAAGGCAGAATAGGAAAAAAAATAAGATGTATCATGTAAAGATACAAATTCTTAATGATGAATGTCATCATATTGCATCCTAAAAGGTACCAATAAACTTAATGAATTAAAAAAAAAATAAATTTTGAAAAGGGAAAGACAAAAACTTCATTTCCAGTTTCATCTCAAGCAACATCTTGTCAAGACTCTTCTAAGCTTTCCTGTTTAGTATCTAGAATATTGTGTTCACATTCAGTAAATTCCTTCAGTTTCTTTTACTTTCATTCTTTCGGATCATGAATGATGTATTTTCCTGTTACACAATGAACCGATTGGTCTGCACAAGTTTCTCAGTAAGTTAGTAGCAGGATCAAAGGTCAAAATCTCTGATCAATATCATAACCATGCCAGAATCATTAGCTCACACCTCTGCTAGCAAGACAGAATTATGACACACACTTTAAAATCAACAGAATGAGGTGCGCTTTAGCCTAAATTCCTATGCTAATCATTATTATATCTGCTTTTCTTCCTCTTTTTATGTTAAGCAAAGCAATAAAGCAAAGCTGTAAAAAAGGCAAAAGCAAAATACCTGGATAACTCACAAAACAGAAAAACCTGACTGCGTAAGTGCAAGTTAAGCAAATGAATTTTTTACAGTTTAAAAAGTTTATTTAATCATACAGTGAATCTTGGGATATAACTGCAAGGTACAAATGAGTTCAAATAAAAAATTATTAAAAATTTTATAATGAGTTACAAATGAAAATGAGAAAATGGATTATTCATGAAAAGATTAAGAGGATGGGCATGGTGGCACATGACTATAATTACGGCACTTGGGAGGCTGAGGCAGGAGGATTGCAGCAAGTTCCAAGGCCAGCCTGGGCTACATAGTGAGTTCAAGGCCAGTCTCAACTACATGGCAAATCCTTGTCTCAAAAAAGAGAAGCCGGGTGTGGTGGCATACGCCTGTAATCCCAGCACTTGGGAGGCTGAGGCAAGAGGATCTCTGTGAGTTAGAGACCACCCTGGGCTACATAGTGAGTTCCAGGTCAGTCTCAACTACATAGTGAGACCCTGTCTCAAAAAATGAGGGGGGTGGGAGGGAGAGAGAGAGAGGAGAAAGAAACACTATGACAGAAAAGAAAAAAGTCACAAATATTTTTCAGAAAAGGTACTCTAGACACCCTAAGAAATTTATAAATTGGCTAAAGAGCTATTGAAAATATACAGAAACAGTCCCTACAGATTAAGAAGCATACAATGTGGGTATGCAGAGTACATGACTTCTGTATTTACCATGTAATATTGTTTTACAGGTTTTTTTAAAAAAACAATTATCTTAATTCTTAACAAATGTTAGGTCCTTAAGTCTTGCTCATCATTCTGCAAATCAATCTTTACTTTGTACTAATTTGCATTATGTCATTTTTTTTTTTTGATACCATGGATCAAATTCTGGACCTTTGAGGTACCACTAAGCTAAATCCTCAACCTTCAAATTTATTGTGGAGACAATCTGATTCATTCACTAGTTACTTGGACAGCTAACATAGTGCACTGCCACCAAACAGCAATTTAAATGAATGCTTTTCAAACTTCAGGCACATAAAACCACACGTAAATCTTGTAAAAGGGGTAAATCTTCAGGCCCCACACTCCAGAGAATTTGACTTAATATATTTGTTGGATCTGTTGCTTAACTCAAATACTTAACATTAATAAGTACCTTATTGTGTAGGTATTATTGAACTCTATTTTATAGGTATATAAAGTAACGTGCTAAAAACTGCAATACTTAAAACATGCTAGTCAGGGTAAGTATACAACGTCATTCATTCATTCATTCTTGTATTTATTCAACAGATACCTGAATACTTCCCTGTTGAAAAGGAAATGTGTTCAGAAACCAAACACCAATTATTTCTGTATTCTTAGCTGACAGTCCTACAATGCTCCTGCCTACCAATGCAGTCCTGCCACAGCTATCAGAAAACAGAGAAGAGAAAAAGGATGTTCTGGTTTTATTTCTAGAGATATTGTAGCAGTATTTCACTATTTAAGGAACACTTTTTATTCCTTGTACAAACATTTTTTTCAGTGGTGAACATTATTTTGAAAGGTGTCTTTCTCATGTCTTTTCCTGTGTAGTGGCTTACTTGGCCTTTTTTTGGGGGGCGGGTACTGGGGATCGAACTCAGGTCGTCCTTGCGCTTGTGAGGCAGGCAGCAGAACCACTGACCTAAATCCCCAGCCCTACTTGGTCATTTTTTACCAGCTCAGAAAACACATCTACCTCTTTTAAATCTATATTTGGTAACCCTTACCCAAAGAAGTCTCAAATGTTTTCAGTTGAAGAGATAGATTCTAATGCCCATTTTAA